AGCATATTGTTCACACAGAGACTCAGACACAAATGTTTACAGCAGCCTTATTCATGATATATCTAAACTGGAAGGAACCCAAATTCCAACAACAGGTGCATGGATAGTCACTTTGTGACATTTATACAATGGAGTACTGTTCTATCCAGCAATAAAAAAAAAAAAAAAAAAATTAGGAACTGCCGATTCATGCAACAACATGAATGAGTCACACAAGTACTTTGTTGAGCGAAATAGTGTGTACTATGTGAACACATTTTTATGAAGCTCTAGAAGAGGCCGGGGGCGCCTGGGTGGCTCAGTCGGTTAAGCATCTGACCCTTCATATCAGCTCAAGTCGTGAACTCACAGTCATGGGATCGAGCCACACTCGCAGAGCCTGCTTGGGATTCTCTCTCCTGTCTCTGCCCCTCTTCCTGCTTGTGTGCTCTTTTTCTTTTTCTCTTTCTCTTTCTCAAAAAAAAAAAATATATATATATATACATATATATATAATGGTCTTTAACCCGGCAGATGAGATCAAATGTCATTTCTGAGGGGATCAGGAGTGGATAAGCTCATAGAAGCAGCCCGTGGGATACGTGTAGTGATGGGTAAGCTTTTCGTCCAGTTTAGAATTGTTGGTGCATGAAATATTCGCACATTTGATGTGGCTTTGGTGGCGTTTCATTGATCTCTTCATGGGCATTTTGTATCGGTGTGTGTAAGAACCTGTTCGAGTGGAGCCATTCTGTGCTGTCCTTAGAGATGGCAGGCCTAGCGTGCAGTCCCAGTGGCTTTTCGAGCAGGGTCCGAACCGCCCCCGTGGCTGCTGCGGCCCTCGTGGGCTGTTCTCTAAAGCCCCCTGTTCCTCTTGGGTTCCCACAGATGTCACTTCCCTGTGACTAGATGTCTGTTTCATCAGCCCTCCTTGTCACTGACCTGGCCTTGCTCCCAACTCTCCCGAGAGGGCGCCGGCTACACCCGGACGCTGTTCCTGCAGCAGGGGCTACGGGCTGCCGGTGGAGTTCACCTCCGCGGCAGGAATCGCTCAGCTGGGCATTGAACAGAATGAACAGGTGCCATCTCCAAATTTTGCCAGTTTTCATATCTCACTTCTAATTTTCTTGCTTGAGTAATTCCTGTTCCAAAGAAACATGAACTGTTCCCTTCCCTGATCCCAGCCGTTAGCACTGCTGTGGTCCAAAGGACCGGAGCCTCCCTTGCCAGCTGTTCCATACTCACAGTGGCCAGGGGTTCTCTGCAAAGTCTTTAAAAACGATGCTTCTCCAAAGCTACTTTTCTCTCTGTGAGTTAATGTGTGTAGCCCATAAGCTGGAAGTATGTTTTTAAATAAATTTCATTGTGTGTCTGTTATTTGACTGTTAAGATGTTAGTGGATATTTGGGAGACCGGAATGAGGTCAGAGCCTAGGGAGCAGAGATGATAGGGAGTTGGAGACACTGAGTCTACCGTTCCCAGCTCGGTATGGAAATTGAACGAGCCATTCATTCTTCTTGAATTCCAGATATTAACACAAATAAGGAAATGTAATAATAACCATATGAGAATTCATTTTTTTTATAATTTTTTTTTTAATGTTTATTTGTTTTTGAGAGAGGGAGAGAGAGAGACAGAGCACAAGCAGGGAAGGGGCAGAGAGAGACAAAGACACAGAATCCGAAGCAGGCTCCAGTCTCCGAGCTGTCAGCACAAAAAGCCCAATGTGAGACTCAAACTCACAGACCGTGAGATCATGACCTGAGCCGAAGATGCTCACCCGATTGAGCCCCCCAGGCGCCCCAAGTTTATTTAAATTTAAGGAGAGAGAGAGAGTGAGCAGGGGAGGAGCAGAGAGAGAGGAAGACACAGAATCCGAAGCAGGCTCCAGGCTCTGAGCTGTCAGCACAGAGCCCGACGCAGGGCTTGAACCCACAGTCCGTGAGATCGTGACCTGAGCCAAAGATGCTCACCCGACTGAGCCCCCCAGGCGCCCCATAGAGAATTCATTCTTTATATTTCGTCATGTCTCTACCTGAACTCTTTTATAAAGTTAATTCTGTTTCATCTGGTCCAGCTGTGCGTTTCTACTTGTCTTCAATAGGACATCATTCATCATCCTTGACTGATGAACTTTATAGAGAACGGGGGGTCGGAGGGCGCTGGGGGGGGGGGCAGTATGGGAGAGCTGGGGCTTCCTTTCTGCCCATCAGTAACCCACCTGTGTGGAGTTCTGTGGTCCTGTGATCTTCCGCTGTGGGAAGAGAATTTTCAGGTTAGGATGGCTCCGAGAAGGCGAATGTGTCCCCTGGTGAGAGGCGGATATCCGGAGCCCTCCTCCTTTCCCTTCCCTTTGTCCACTCCTGCCATCGAGTCATGCTGCTGTCACTGGACCGCTGTGGTGTCCTCCTCAACGGTCTGTCCCCATCTGCCCTGGCCCCTGCGGTTGTGTGCTTGATTGTCCACAGCGATCTCTCCGCAACCTGGACCGTGTCACCCCCCTGCTCACATCCTCCACGGTCTGACCTTCTGACTTGGAACAACGGTCTCCCACCTTGTGTCCAGACCGGGCGGCACCCGATGTGCGCCAGACCGGCTTGTTGTTTGTTCCTCAAACACACCACACTTGTTCGTGACACATCAGGACTTGCATGCCTGTTCATCTCTCTCAGGACTCTCTCGGAGCTTCGTGGTTTTGCCTCTCAAAACACTTTTTACAAACCTGTTCAGCGCAACGTTCAACATGGTTTTCTGCTTTTCCCTGTTAGAATGTTAGTTCTAGAAGAGCAGGGTCTACTTGGTTCATTACTAGGCCTGATCCATACTGGGCCTGATCCATAGAGACATTCAGAATGTTGGGAGTAAATAAATGTAGTCAAACCCCCTGAGATTACTTACCACGGAATCATCTGTGACATTACGTTGGCCTCGTTGTTGCTTTCGGTGGCTAGGTTAGGTAAGGTCGCATCATCAGTACACTTAACCGTGACCCCCACCCCTTTGACAGTTGGTTGTTAGAATGCATTATGAATCAGTCATCTATCCCCATTGGGCCTATATCCCACTCGTAGAAAGAAATAAAACGATTCCATTTTACATTAACATTTCCAGACAACCGTGAACGTCTAACTGATTTGTCACTGCGACTGAAAAATAAGTAATTTTACTTATTAAAGGCATTTAATAAAAAAAATTGTAATCTGTTATTTATTTATTTACTTAACAGTAAAATAACTACTGTTAAGTTGTTTTGTCTAAGTTGTTTTGACAGTAACATCTGAATGACAACTGGGTCGTAATCTTTTCAACCCTAAGAGTACCAACGCTACCTGTGAAATCCTTTCCAGGGAGAAAGTTGGTTCCTTGTGTTTTACAGCGCCCGGTTCTGTTAACATGCCTTGTTTCATAGATTTATGAGCTAGAAAATCTTTTTTGAGACAAAGCATATTAGAATATTTAGCCAAGAGAAGGAAATGTTGAGATATATATGTGAATACAGATTGAATGAGATTGGATTATTTCAATCTTATGAAACAGAATAATCGGTTTATTTCATGTTCTATTTCTGTTTAATGAACTTCCCTGTTGAATAAGAAGATAATAAGCTCACCCGTTTAGAAGCCCAAATCCAGAAATATTCTTCCTTGAAACCGCAAAATGATTAGGAAACTAGCTCATCAAGAAAATAGGGAGTTTCCTGATCACATTAAGGGGTTTGGAACTTTACATGGCATCTGTTTGGGGTCACAGGAAGGATACACAGAAGTCTCATCAACGTTTTTAAAGTTACTCGTTCTGCCCCAGTAGAGACGTGTTCTTATGAAAAGTAAAACGGTAGAAGAGATCGTTACTGAGGCAAATGGCCTAAAGGAAGTGGCTGATGGGAAATTAAGGAACGTCGTGAGTGATCAGCATCCCAGACGCAGGTCACAGACAAAGCAGGGGCCCCCAGACGTCCAGGAATCGTGCCAACGGGTACCACTAGATCAGAAACTCTGCCAAAGCGACGGATAGGTGTTGGTACCGTGTGCCCTGGTCGGCATGGGCTCTGGACCCAGGGCAGGACTGTGCCCCCCGAAGGGGACCATCTGTGAGCCACAAGCAGGCAGCCTTTAGGTGCAACGGATCCCAAAGACTCATTGCACTGAGCTGGCAATGGCCATATCTCACTTGCTACACAGTTTTGTATCTTTCTTCATCATTCGCTTTTTCAAACTTAGGTAATTTGCTTCACAAAAGTTAAAGTCGGCATATGAAAATTCCTTCCTCATTAGCAGTTGGTGTGACCATAGGTGTAGATTTCCTTCGGGGCAAACACACGTCTCTACACCACATCCCTGAAAATTACAGGGCGGACGTCCGCTGGAAGGCTTTAAGCAGTGTTTTCTTTTTCTTCGAGAGGAAGGATGAAACCAACCCATATTTGGAAAAGGGAAGTCAGAGTGTGGGTGCGAAGCCACGGAGGTCGGGGTCTGCACAGCGCCCGGCCACAGCCCCCCCGCCGCCCAGCCCAGACTCGGGGGACAGACCCGTGTCCGCTGTGGCCTGGTCTCCAGCTGCTCGCGCCTGGGGGATCTCGCTTCACTTCTTCGCACCTCACGTTTCTCTTCCAGAAACAAGAGGATCGGGGTAGATTGTTTTCTTCAGGGTTTCTTTGCCCCGTGCGTTTCCAGAACTCCATGGAAGGTATGAATCTGGCCCAGTATAAGCGCAGTAGAGGACTTAGGGTTTAGGTACGTGCCTGCATCCTCTCTGGTTTCAGCCGTGGTACCCAGGCAGCAGGGACATGCGCCAATTCCTTCCCGCGGCCGGTGACTGAGGTGACCGATGCCCTTCCAGTTGGGCCAACACCGCGCTTTCGTTGCACTTACGTCCCTGCCTGCTGGCTTTGTACCGTCAGCTCCCTCCTCCTCGTCGCGAAGGAATGCCTGCTTAAAGCCTCTTTTCCCTGAAAATGCAGACGTCTTTCTAGCCTGTCTTGCCCACGCCACGCTGACCCGTTTTATGTTCCTGTGTTCCAGAGACCGTGTCATTGGTTTGATGATGACTGCCTGTGATCTTTGTTCCGTAACAAAACTGTGGCCGGTTACAAAACTGACAGCAAATGATATATATGCAGAATTCTGGGCTGAGGTATGTTTTCGATTTTTATATGAACGCGGACATGAGAACAAATTGGATGAGAACGTAAACGTGCGGGTATTTAAGTAACAGTATCTTAGTTGCTCTGGGTGCTGGTTCCTTCGGAAAACCATTGTCAATCACGTGCAGTAGAGGAATTAGCATTTCTGCACAGACACAAAGACATTTACGCAGACGTATAGCCCATTGTGAGTCCCTCAGTGTCACACGCTGTATGTGTCCACACTTGGAAATTTGGGGGATAATTCTCTTGTACCAGAGACGTACGAGTTTCTGCGAATATACCAGATAGTTAATTCAGCTGTAAATTAGGAGTTCTACTGAGCATGTGTGCTTTTAACTCCTAAAACTCCTGATACGTGAAACAACCATGGAAATTACTTTAGTTCATACCTGTTCTTGACTGGATGATCTAAATTATCAGAAATTTTTATTTCTGATCAAGATATCAGTGTTTTATTTCTCCGTTTTCTTTCTGAATTGTCCACGATGAAGTGGACAATTTTCTCTTGTTCAAATGACTCCACAAATAGCTAGGCCCCTGCATACTCAAAGATTACAGTGAGGTGGGGGGAGTGAAACTAAATCTTTGGGTACCTCATTTGGTTGGAAGAAGTAAAATTAAATTTGAAGGGCGGAGGGTTTGGTAGTTGTTGATTCAAACCTTAGGCCTCACCCGTATGAAAGAATGGTTGTAAAAAGTAAAAACCAGAAAACCATTCAGTTGAAAATTTAGTAGAAACGATTTATGACATTAAATTGTTTCCATGATGGCAAAGAGAAAAATTTTTGCCGCGTGAGGACCACAGGCCTCGAGCTGATTATACTTGTGTTATTTTTCCAGAATGCCTTACACATTGTGCATACACACTCTCGCGTGAGGTACATTCGGTAAATACCACATAAGGAAACTGGTCTAAAGCTAGCTTATTGTTTTGCAGATAATTTTATTTAACTGATATAACCCATACTTTAATAACTATATTTGGATTCTAAAACACGAATGAAAATGTGACAGATGTGTTACGTAGATTTTTTTCCCTCTCTATTCTGCACTGATGAAACGGTGCAGAGAGATTGACCAAGCTCCCAGTGTGCCCAGGGACGCCGTCTTCACGGACCTCGTAGTCCATGAGAGGAGACGGATGTCGCTGCGTCTTGCCTGTTGACCTCCCTGGGGTTCGCTAGGTCCACTCTCTGCCCAGCACCCACCACGCCTCCCCGCTCCAGGACTTGGCCGCCCTGCGCCCAAATTACCGCAGCGTTCTAACCGGAGTCCTTGACTTTTCGCTTGGAGTCAGAATAGCACTGACTCAGAGTGTGGTCGTTGATGTCCTGCTGCTTGAGATGAAAATCCTGCTTTTGTACTTGGGGATGAAGCCTCAGGCCAGCCCCCCACCTAGCCCCGTGCCTCAGTTGCCCCATCTGCGGGGTAGTGGCCACGTTAGCGCTGTTGACAGTCTGCCCCCGCGTGCCGTTGTGATAAAGACCGAAAGCACGGACTTCATCTACACGGACCACTGTCCCTCCAGACTATGCCACGTCTCAACCTGTCTGGACTCCCTGACCCAAGGCCCTCTGGTCGCCACCCAGGGCGGCTTCCCTGGCCCCACCCTGCCCTCTGCAGCCTTCCTGGGCAGGCCTTGCTCTAGGGACGGTCCCCGTTGTGTACCTTCCACAACACTCTGTTGTTTTCCTGGTTAGCATTTATCCTGGTCTGGGAGTACAGTACATAGTCAGGTCATTATTTAGTCGAGATCTGTTCACGTACTGCACTTGTGGTGTCCTCAAGCAAGAGGCCTGGCTAGCTTCACTCACTCAGAGCGGAAAACGAAAAAGTTTGAGAACCCCTGACGTTAACATTTAAAAGCGACCACACTATCGCAAAAGCTGTGCTCACGTGCCTTCATGTTGTTAGCACAGCTTCCTTTGTCCTGTACCTGGAAATCTTCATGAGGGTCATAGATATTTATTTCTGGACCTTAGCAAATCTAGGATGGTCTTAGTTCTGTGCATCTGACTTCTAAACGTAAGCATGATTGCGAAATAATGAAAATAATCGAATAATTAAGAAATGTGAGGGACATGGGTAGTAAGGAAAAAGTTGGGATGTATTAAGAAAGATTTTAATGGTCTTTAACAAATAACTAAAAAAGAGGGAAAGAATTTTTAAAATCTATAAAACGGGGACAATAATTTCTAACTCCGTAGTATTCCATGAAGGTTAAATGAAAGAATAGCCACAAGTTACCTACCCCAGAGGCTGCGACACAGTCAATCTTCAATATAAACATCTGTGATTATAACCTTTGCCATGCTTACAGCCAGTTACACCTTTCTAGCAGGCTCGTGTTTATTCTTGATATACAACATTTCTCTCTAGAGCCTCGCTCCGTCCAGTTCAACACACACGAAGACTCCCTTGAAACGTAAGTGAGGAGAAGGCCACGAGGTCTGTTCCAGGCTCTGTTGGCCGTCACTGGGCCTCCCTGGTTACTCTGCTCCTCTTGTCGTACCTGTCACTAACTCGCACACAGCGGAACCAGAACAGACGGCATCAGGATAGACGCCAAACAATGATACGTTAAGTTTTTGTTTTGACACTTGCGTGGATCAGTAGCCAGAAGCGTTATCCATTTTGAAGGAAATTAATGCATAAAGGGAACTCGTTAATGTCAGAACTTTGTGACCGTTGATAAGTTGAGCAATCTTGGCTTTCCCTGTTTATCTTAGGGTGACGAGATGAAGAAGCTGGGAATACAGCCCATCCCCATGATGGACAGAGACAAGAAGGACGAGGTCCCACAGGGCCAGGTATGGGTATGGGTCCTGCTGGAAGGTCAGATAACGTGAGGCGCTCCCAGAGTCATCCGTGAATAAAAAGTATCCACCGTCCTGCAGAGCCTAGGCCCGGAAATCTTCTGTACTCAGGTGGAGTTTGCAGGTGGTAAGACCAGGGTCAGGAAGTTCTAGTTGGATTTCAGGAATCCACACCTGCTCCTGCCTTCAGTTCTTGCTACGGATCTGAGCGCAGTAATCAGTGACTTGAAATAGAGGAATGGATGGATTTGAGTTGTTAATATTTTTAACCAGCAGAAAACCTTTCGTCATTGTGCAAAGGTATCCTTTAGAGAGAAGCGTTCTAGGTTTTGATCAGGTCCTCTCCTCCCAACAAGTAACACACAGTGTTCTAGTACATGTTGGGTTTTCTCTTCCAGTCAGTTGACGTTAATTAATATTTTTTCAGGTCTTACCGCATGGTTGATGTCAGTTTTGTGATGTTTTGACAGCTCTGTGCCCTGTCAGTTCTGCGTGTGTGCATGTGTGGTACAAGGTACTTCTCAGACCCACGGTCTTTCGAAAGTACCGTTCTTCAAACGCCGTCACGAGGAAGTTAGCTGCGGACAAATAATTGTAACCTAGAATTTAGTTTAGAAAACATTTGAGAAAACGCACAGGATGATGGTTTTGGATGAGGTCTCAAGTTTTCCTACTTTACTTAGAGTTAATGTACTATTAATACAGCAGTTCAGGCAGGTCCACAGGTTTCGAAGACGCCAGCACAGAGAAAGGCAAAGGCCCTGTGGCTTTCTCCTCCTCACTGCCTTCCGTCCACGGGGTGCTCGCGTCCTTGGCCAGCTTTGCTGATGGGGGGGCCTGTTGTTCCTTCCTGCTGAACGTGCACCTGGCAGGCCTGTCTCGTGTGTATTTTGCAGTTTAGTTTCTATTTAATATTGTTTATGGAGCTTTCCCACGTAGGTGCTCCTGAGACCTGTCTGCCCTCCCTGGCCTCTGCTCATCCTGTCCTGTCCCACCATGTGATTAAGCATTTGCCTCTGTTTTCTTTACTCACCCTGTGTTTCATGGCTTTCTATTTGATTTGTTAATTCCTCTGAATCGTATCTTGCTACAATGGCTTAGGATAGGGATCTGACAAGGTTCTTTTTTTTTTTCTTTTTCAAATTTTTATATAAATTCTAGTTAGTTAACATACAGGGCAATATTGGTTTCAAGAGTAGAACCCAGTGATCCATCACCTACATCCGACACCCAGTGCTCATCTCAACCAATGCCCTCCTTAATGCCCATCACCCATCTAGCCCATCCCCCACCCACACCCCTCCAGCAGCCCTCAGTTGGTTCTCTACCATTGAGAGTCTCTTGTGGTTCGTTTCCCTCTCCTCTTTTTTCCTCTTCCCCGTGTTCATCTTTTTTGCTTCGCAAATTCCACATACGAGTGAAATCATATGATATTTGTCTGTGACTTACTTGCTTAGCGTAATACATTCTAGCTCCGTCCACGTCATTGCAAATGGCAAGATTTCATTCTTTTTGGTGGTTACATAATATTCCATTGTGTATATAAACCACATCCTCTTTATCTATTCATCTGTCGATGGACATTTGGGGTCTTCCCATAAGTAGGCTGTTCATAATGCTACTATAAACATTGGGGTGCATGGGCCCCTTGGAATCAGTACTTTTGTATCAATGATATATCTGATAAAGGGTTAGTATCAAAAATCTATAAAGAACTTATCAGATGCAACACCGAAAAGAAACCAAATAATCCAGTGAAGACATAGGCAGAAGACATGAATAGACATTTTTTCCAAAGAAGACATCCAGATGGCTAACAGACACATGAAAAGATGCCCAACATCACTCATCATCAGGGAAATACAAATCCAGACCACAACGAGATATCATCTCACACCTGTCAAAGTGGCTAAAAGTAACAACACAGGAAACAACAGGTGTTGGCAAGGATGTGGAGAAAAAGGAACCCTCATGCACTATTGATGGGAATGCAAAGTGGCACAGCCACTCTGGAAAACAGAATAGAGGTTCCTCAAAAAGTTAAAGGGGTGCCTGGGTGGCTCGGTCGGTTAAACATCCCAACTCTTGATTTCGGCTCAGGCTGTGGTCTCACAGTTTATGAGATTGAGGCGTCTGACTCTGCCGTGACCACACTAGAGCATGCTTGGGATCCTCTCTCTCCCTCTCTCTCTCTGCCCCTCCCCTGCTCGTGCTCTCTCTCTCTCCCTGAGTAGGTAAACATTAAAAAAAAATTTAAGTTAAAAATAGAGCTACCCTACAATCTAGCAATCACACTGGTAGATACCTACCTAACAGAGTTCTTTCTGGATAGTTAAGCTTTCGTCCCAGCCGAAAGCCCAGGATGGCTGAAGGTGCCGTCGGAGAATGGACCGTGTTCCAGCACCATTGAATTAAGGGAAGAGTTTGACTTTATGCCAAAATTGCCAAACCCATTTACAGTATGAGTTTGAGTGCAGATAGTCTGCACAGCAGCAGAAGGCAGAAAGTAACCACCAAGGAGAGTCCGCTCTTCTGTACCTTGAGTGCATCTCATTGAAGTTCACTTTTTTTAAAACAATTTGGTAAGCCCTGGTTTGGGGGGTCACCTCATTCAAAGAGGCAGTCGTATCTGGTGATAATTGTAGCTAGACCCTCTGTGTTCCCTGCTAACAGTCTAAAAGGTCTTTTTCATCCAGCCAGTCTGGGCTGGAAGCATTTATTTCTACTGTGGCCTGAAATTCCTAATAAAATGTCCCTTAATATATTTTTTTAAGTGCCAGAGATCAAAAACTGAAATCTGGCATATTAAAAGAACTGTAACCTGAGAAGAACTGTGATATAGTCAATGAGATTTGTTGTAGGTCAAAAAAAAAGGGAGGGAGATTAAGAACGTCTCAGGAGACCAAACAATGCACCAAAGGCCAAGGGTAACAGACCCACAAAACACCCTGTGCTGATTCCCCAATATTAAGTTATAAAGAGGCCTCCATGTAGAAAAATAGCAGGTTTGACTCTGAAATGTCTGTGGTAGAAAACTAACTTTCGGGGGTGCCTGGGTGGCTCAGTCGGGTAAGCATCCGACTTGGGCTCAGGTCATGATCTCTCTGTTCCCGGAGTTCGAGCCCCGCATCAGGCTCTGTGCTGACAGCTCAGAGCCTGGAGCCTGCTTCGGATTCTGTGTCTCCCTCTCTCTCTGCCCCTGTCCCACTCGCACTCTGTCTCTGTCTCTCTCTCTCTCTCTCTCTCTCTCTCTCTCTCTCAAAAATAAACATGAAAAAGAAAAAAAAAAGAAAAGAAAACTAAATTTTTGACCAGCAACAAGAACAGTACTTGAATTGATAACTTGACCGATCCATAAATGGAGTCTCACTGGCTGTTGCCCTTGGGTTTCGGTTTAACTTCTTTTCCTGTGTGTTATTTCAAAAACTACTTTAAGGCATTTCGAACGCCCTCCGCAGCGGTATTCGCCGAGCCCAGATATCACAGAGCAACACTAGAACACTTAACTCCGTAGTTAGGCTTGAGAAGTGGGAAAGTGGAAGCTTCGCTTGAGAAGCGGCATCTACTAGAGTCGCTAACGCGCAGTCTTGTGTCTTCTTGTCCGTGGCTCTGCACGGGGGCAGCTGGGCTTCTACAACGCCGTGGCCATCCCCTGCTATACGACCCTCACCCAGATCTTCCCGCCCACGGAGCCTCTCCTGCAGGCGTGCAGGTACGTACCGTGGCGTAAGCTGGGATGTTAGTCTTATTTTATTTTATTTTTTTTGGGGGGGGGCATCAGTTTTAAAAATGACTAAGACTCCGTATAGGACTGTTCTGTCCCATCGGCGTGTGTTGTGTCTTCCCGAAGGTTTACAATGAACGTAATTTTATGGGCCGTGTGTTTTTCTAGGTACCGAGTATATGTTAAGGACATTCATAAAGTCACGCAACCGCCAAAAAGGAGCCAGAAGGCGTGTGGCTTGGGATTTGGTTTGTTACGACCCAGGGATCTATGGCCGGTGTGTGTGTGGAAAGACAGGGGCCGTGCTGTGTGTTCGAGGCTGCTTGTGGGGAGGGGCTCAGCCTCAGTCACACAGCTTATTAAGGCACATGAGGAGCGGGAACCAGCGTGGGATCTTCTTTCTCGGGGAGTTCTGTCTTTTCCCCAGAAGAGCTGTAAGCCGACTGTCACCCACCCTGACCTCAGACGTCTCTGAGCCCCTTCACCGTCGCTCGCTTTTGAGGGACGAGCTCAGCTAAGGACATGGGAATTTTTGTAAGATTTCCATTTGACTTCGAGAAGAAGTCCCCTGTGGGGATGTCAAAGGGCTATGAGCAGAGCGGCCATACGTGCTGATATTCTGCTCGTGAGCTGGTGTCCAGCTGATGTCCCTAACAACTTAACCCTGAAGCACCCTCGGGCTTGGGGTGGGCACACTGAGCGGGGGGGCGGGGGACTGCGTGGACAGACTGATAGTTTTAAACATGAACGTAAGACATCCCAGCCTATTTTGTTGAACCGTCAGACGTTCAGCAGTGGTTAGTTTATTAAAGTATTATCTTTTTACATCAGGACTAAGCCCTGTGGACAACAGGGACTTTGAACTAGGACTCAATCCTGATGGGATCAGTTGGAAAAGTCAGTGCCCCACCAAAGAGAAATCACTCAAAATCCAGGTGATTAAAGAGAACCTAGGCAACAGTCCAAAGTCTTTTCCTATGTAAACATTATCTGTGTTTTATGCTAAATACTTAGAACCAACAGAAGGGACTACTTTCTGTTATATTTTTATCACCATCACGGTCAACACTGGGATTCTTCTGTGTCGGCAGCTTTGACGCATTCTTGCTTCGTTGTACTTGGCTGGACCACGTAATCCGTTAAAGGCCATTTTAACCTTCTCAACACTTAAAAAATTCATCATGTACCACTGGTGTCCGAGGAAAGAGCAAAATTAGTATAGGCCTTTTTTTCCGATGTGTCAAAAGCCCCCTTTAGGCTCCGGGAAAAAGTCATGCGATAATGTGGCACAGAAGGTAAAACGTTACAGTTTTCAGGTTGTGTTTCTAGAGACTGCTTTTGTCCAGAGGCGTCTTCCCGTGCGTGTGCTCTGTATGAATTGTGTGTCTCACCTGGACTTTGTGTAGAAGAAAGCAAGCTGCAAGGCTAAGATCTCTTCCCGGTTAACCACAGGAGGCAGGATGTTGGTCCTGCGGTGGTGGCGGCCACACTGTGCCACGCTGTTCCGGAAGGTTGAGGGGCAGTGTCTGCAGCGTTGAGCTGCAGATGTGGAGAGAGAAGGGCCGGAGGCGGGGGGGGGGCGGCAGCCGACACCCGACACGAGAGGTTGCCAGAGCACGAAGATGGCTTTAGTGCAACAAGGAAACGTCCCACTTTTGTGTCACGTGTAACTTAGGGTGAATTTTTATATGTGACACGGTGTTCAGAATAGGACCGCTTTCCGGTTTCGGGTATGACGTGACAGGGAGCCCAGGCGGCGCACTGTTTCCACCTGCAGAGCACGGGCTCCTGGCTGTTGGTGCTGTTGGCGAACGTTTTTGCTGCTGGAGCCTCCCTTCCTCTCCATTTCTCTCCGTGCTCCTGGGTAGTACTCCCGACGCTTGTGCCCCTTTCCAAGTCAGCTTTTTATTTTTTTTTAATGTTTATTTATTTTGAGAGAGAGAGAGAGCAAACGGGAGGGACACAGAGGGGGAGGGAGAGAATCCCAAGCAGACTGCACTGTCAGCACAGAGCCCGACCTGGGGCTCGAACTCACGAACTGTGAGATCATGACCTGAGCTGGAACCAAGAGTCGGACGCTTAACCGACTGAGCCACCCAGGTGCCCCTCCAGTCAGCCTTTCTAACTGATGAGGAGGTGATAAGTCCCGAGCTGAGCTCTCCTTTTGTACCCTTGCCTGGAGCTCGTGGGAACGGGTTCCCCCCCACCCCCCAAGCCTTGGTGGCTTGAGGCTCTGCTGAGTAAGTCAAGGTGCAGGGCCACATCAGGGAGACCTAGCAGGGTCCTGCGTGGCTACGGCACAAAAGCCATTATCGGAGTCAGGAGGGCACCAGAAAGCCCTCTTGCTCAGCTATGCCTCAGGGCGGTGTGGTTAATTCTGAGACCCGAGTCCGGAAATCCTTTTTCAAGCATCACCTGTCCCCGCATCTCTTATCTGTAGGAATAACCTGAGCCAGTGGGAGAAGGTCATCCGAGGGGAGGAGAGTGCCGTGTGGGTCTCGTCCCAGCCGGGGGCCCACGAGCCATCCGAGAAGCTGCCAGTGAAGATGGGGGACTGACCGCTACGTGACCAGCTGTCCCACCTGAAGACGCCCGTCCTGCTTCTTTGACTTTTCTTCCTTTTATTTTTGGGGGGGGAAACCTACACCTGGTAACTGGGCTGCAGACCTCTTCGACAAGGTGACATCGGGAAACACGGCAAGCGGATGACTCCCCGCCAGTCTCGTCTGTAACGCATCGTAGACGGTGACCAACCAGGACCACCCCGGGGCCAGATCGGCTGTCCACGTGACCCCGTTTGACCTGTGAACTGGCCTTTTCTAATAGGCGCATATTGCTGAGGCCTTAATGGGATAGGACAACAATCATTCAGAAGGGGGTACTTTTCCATTGTATCTTTCTAGTGAGGGGTTAAAATGGTACTACTCTGATATTGTACTTTGGCTCTAACACCAATGTTGCTTTGACGTTGTTGGTTCTAAATAGGAATTTTTACACATTACTGTTGTGAATGTTTGTGTGTGACCTACTTGTAATTAGCGTGAAGTGTAGCAGACGGCCTCAGGACAAGCGTCATTGAGGGGACAGCGTAAGAAGTGTCTTTCTGCAATCAGCGATGGACGGTAGTCAGACTCCTGTTTCAGAGCCTCGTGAATTAAAAGTTAGGTGGACGAAAGTGTGTTCTTTAGGTTTATACTGAAGGGCTTAGATGAATAGGTCGAACACTGAATGAGGTGGACTTTCTGTCCTGAGAAAAGAGGCAAGTATACACCATAACAAATCTCCGAACCACAAGTATCCACCAAAAAACGGCAAAGAATATTTTTTAGTTGGTGTTGTTTTTTTTTTCCCATCATTGTAGGCAAATTTTCTAAACCCTTTGCATAAAGAACAAAACAAAAGCCAAGCGTATGAGTCTTTCTTAACAGACAGGTCTTAGGGGATGTAAAATGTGAATTTTAATAATGATTTCTTTATATTTTCACTTGGTGTCATTGCAAAATTTGAGACTCACACTCAAAATGAGAGGTTTCTTCTACGAATTCTTTCATTAAAATACCATACGTTTCTCTTAAAATCACATTAAACCGTGAAATTTAAGTCGTGTGTAATTTTTACTTTGATCTGCCGTGCCCGCTTCCCGCTCATCCCCTTTTGTGCTCCTCAGTCGCACTCCCCACGCTCTCCGTCTGTGACCGGGAAGTGGAACCCAGTGCGGATACTTCGGGGCTAACTTCTGTCCTCTTTCCTCTGCTCGAGGTCAAGGATCTACACCGCAACCTGTGATTTGGAGAGTTTCTTCTGTATAATTTTGGGTAGACTCTTATTACTGTACAACGTAAACGTTTTGAAGAATACACAAGAGTCTGGACCCCTTCGTACAAGGATTACAAGCCAGTCGCTTCTGGTGCCCGTTCATGCTGTTGATTTTCAGCACCACGGCAAGGTCACCTCCAAAGCTGTGGTTAGTCCCGACCCCGAAGGAATTCGAGTCTCAAGAAGTGATGGGCTGATTCATAACAAATAGCTTAGCTACTGTTCCTGTGGCAGGAGACTGGCATATTACTTTCAATAAAATCAATTTTGGAAATACTCTCTTACATATTCAGTGATGTACACATTATTATCCATATGGTTTTTGCCAAAAAGATTAAATGTTTCTACAACACGATTTATGTTGTAGAAGAGTTAGCTACATGTAAACGTTCTTATTTTAGAATTAACACTATGTGTTCAGTTTCCCTGTGGGCTTTTGAAAGTTGCCATCTTCCCTACGTGGGGCTCCATTTGCTGTTACGCAATACGAGGTAAAATGAAATACCACTGTAACTAGACACACGCACGCACGCAGATATACACACATGTATGAAAGGACATATGTATAAGGGAGACAGATGCAAGACATCAATAAAAAGTAAGAGCCCCTTTCTTCAAAAACTGACGCGTGTTGGAAAATGTATATTGTTTGATAAAGAGCGGACTAGAAAACATCCCTTTTCACGTTAGTGCGTTTACAGGATTGGATTCTAAAATGTTGCATGTTTTTCCACACCCGCATGTATGAAACTGGACCCACCAAATCGAACCTCACTCGCGAGAATTAGTACAGGCATCTAATTTAACTCGACGACTGAAATGCAAGGGACCAGGGGAGGAAATATCATTTAAGATGGGTTTAATTAACAGGATCTTAAAAGAATGCGTGAATTGGGCTTTTTGATACAGAAAACAGTCATGAGGGGGAGGAATCCTATGGCTATCTTTCCATTTTAAGAGTGCCGTTCGAAGATTATTAGAGAAAGGTCTCGTATTTTGGCATAGCCAGGTGTATTATGTCAGGTGATGTGTTCTTTGAACAACTTTCCGAAGAAATGTACGTGGATTTATTGATTGGCTGATTTCTCCTAAGGTATCCTCATGATCAAAGCGAAGTTTGAACAAAGGACTACGTTCTAACGTAAACTATGAATATTCCTTAGTACTACTTCGGAATCATAGATTGACCTAAACTGGGCCCAAGATGCAGTGGTATTTAGTCAGTAATCTGCTTTGGAAACAATGCAGTTAGGAGTATTTTTATATTTTGGCAGACAAACTTTTGAGTTCTGTCCTCATCTTTCTCCCAGATCTTTTCTTCAAAGGGCAGATGGCTTTAATTACCAGAAATTTTGACAAGTTTCTCATTAAGGTGGTATTTCATGTTGGGCCAAAATTTCCCTCCGCATAAATTTGGTAACCAGCTGTGAGTATGTGTAGCTTGTTCGATTTGTGGAAATTGTTAGTGGTTGTGCTGATGGATAATAGACACAGCTTTGTTGTCAAATGCAATTCGTACATCATCTTCCCCAGAGATACTGACTGTATTTTTTAACTAGAAATTTTCTTGGAAATGCCTGCCAGCAACATGAAATATCGAACTTAGGCACTGGAATAAAATTCTAAAAATCCCAAGCGTCTTATTAATTAATAGCTGACTTTGGTTTAATTCATTAGAAAAACTTAAACAAATATAAATGGATGTGGAAAGTCAGTCTCAAAAGTGGCCCTTTTATGGGCCGGATTGAGATCCACATCCCAGCCCTCATCACTCTGTGAGGCTCGTCAGAGTCATGGAGGAGAGACGAAGCTGAATTTCTCAGCACAGCCGTCCTCATTCTGGACGCTTCCCTCCGTGGGAAGGCGTCTGTGCAAATGATACGGTGCCGCTCGAGGTGACGTGTTCTCACGGTGACGACGACAGAACTACTTGGAAACTGGATTTATTCAGCGTAGGTTTCCTCTTTTGAGCATGCTTTTTAGATAGCTTTAGATTCTTTTTTTTTCCTTTTCCACAGTTAATCTCAGTGAATTTTGCTTTATTGGTATGATTGGGCACTCTAGATATGTTTGTACGTGATACACATAGATGCATAAAATCCTTAGCTACCTGGATTTTGTAATAGATTTAGTTTGACTATTACGTTTCTGGTCTTTTAACTCAAAATTAAGGTTTGAGCTTTAATAGGACTAAATTCTTCACCATGCCTGGGCCTGTGCCTTTATTTTAAACTCTGTGATTTTACGTCTTTATTCATAGAGTTATTGTTTTCTTCTTCTTGCTTAATTATAAGTAAAAACATTTAAAGGGACACATCTATAGTTCATTTGATCAAATTGAATGAATAGGAAGGACCGTTCTCTCCTCAGATTTCTGTCCTTTATTTGATGTCCTTCGCACACACCCTCATGGCTGTAACCAATGAACCGTTCAGATGCAGGCTTTTTTGCAAGTGTTTCCAAGAACTGCGACACGATTACGGTGTGATTTCGTTGGGCTTCAGGTACATATGCATGACTTGGATTTTGAAGATCACTTCTGTATCTGTTTCGGACCTGTGTTTGCTTTCTGCACTGCGCTGGTTTTATTTGGGGCTTAATTCTTGAAAGACTCCTTCCTTCGGTCGCACTAGTGTGACCCTTTTGGCTGCAAGTTATCAGCCTGGCTTTAAAAACCTCTGTGAGCTGTAAATTACCCGTTCTCGACAGCCCCCCTTCCCCAGCAGTGCGTGGCTGTTCCGTTTTGCCTTCGCTTAAGTATTTACCCTGAGACGCATTCTGCCGATTTCTTTCACCACTTCATCTTAAGTTCGAATTAGTGATTCCCCCAGGCAGTGCTTCACACTTTGTGTGTTTTGTCCTTTTTTTTTGTACTGGATATTTCGGTTATCTGAAGCATTCGATGCATTTCCATGACGGTAAAAAAAAAAAAAAAAAAAAATAGCAGAAAAGAGAGAAAAACGTTTCATTTGTGTTCTGGTTCTAAAGTAAAGGGGTGGGACAAAGAGAAGGACGTGAATGTTCCCGAAGAAACAATATTCGAAATTCAAAGAAGCACCACTCCCTTCGCTCGCCTGTCAAGTTTCCGCCCCCCTCGGCCCCTCGGTGGACCACGGGGCTGTCTACCCAGCGTGCGGTGTGACCGACCTTCACAGCGAGGGTCAGGAAAACGGGCACTGAACGCGGGCTAGACCCGAGCGTGCCTCTCCCGGGGCGTCGATGAGTGTCACCCGAGGACCCGGACCCCAAGTTAGAGCCCAGTCCGCCGTGGCGAGTAGAGACGTCAGTTGGCTGGTGGGGGGGGGGGTGCCAGCTGAGGGTTTTGAGGTATAGCTGCAGAAGTTTAAACGGCCCGTTTTCATTCCTACTACAAGTTAAGGTTGAAAAGCGCCCCAGCTGGTACTCCGGCCCACCTGAAAGATGACTAGACCCTGGGCGTTGCGACTTGTGGGTGTTTTCTTTAGCCACTTGAACGATAAGCCAGTCCCGTGCCGTATCTCACACAGCCTGAGTAAAAGCCAGATCGGCAGGATTGTTTCCCATATGATCTGTCTGTGGTGTCTGTTCTGCGTATCCATTTCGTGTGCGCGTGGAAAGGACAATAGACTTCTTTGTAGGAGGAATGTCTATACGATGCCTCCACCGCCTCGCCGGACCCGACCCAGTGACCCGTGTGAAATAACGTGCTCGCCCAAAACACTGTGAAAGTTACCCAAACTTCATGGAAATGCAGCCTCTTGAAACTTTCTGAAGAGGTGGCTTTCTCTGTAGGTCCGTACGAATAGAAGAGATCCTATCTCCCTCCCTAGTCAAGGTACCGAAGAATTTGCTGGCAGTAATCTTGCTGAGCCCACACCGCTAGGGTGTAAGATGGGCTACGAGCCATCAGAAACAGGGCGCGCTCGAAAAACAGATTTGTGGGGGTGATGGGTCTGCATCCAAAGTTTTAATGGGCTCTCTTTTGGAAGGAGAAGGAGTTTCCGGCTTCATGGTAGTTGATGAGTTGGCAGATTTCAAACCAATTATTTTGTATGGATGACACATTAAAGATCTTTGTAAAATGCGCAAGGGCAATAATTTAAAGAGGTCTTACCTTGGCATTTATAAATTATAAATATTGTACATGTGTGTAATTTTTTTCACGTTTTCATTTGCAGTCTTTGTACCTAAAAGAAACCTTTACTGTTATGTTTGTATAATAGAACAGTCATCATTTATTATAACCGAGGCCAGTTGTAAATAAACTCATAATGCAGACTGCCGGTATATATGCACATATGGGTGTTACACTGAAAAATGTAGCTTTGTTTTACTCACATGCTTAGAGCAGCAAGAAACCTTTTGTCGATATGTAACTATACATACAAAGTATATATATATGTATGATACATGAAATATATGTAGAGCTGTTCATAATTTTAATGGATATCCTTTGGTGTGAATAATTGAATACAGAGTTTTTAAAGTATCCTCTTTCACGTTTTATCATTTGCGGGGAAGGTAAGAGATGTTCCGTACGTTGGGGAGGACACAACGCTGGCTCCACGGAAGCGTGTTTGCAAACACTCAGGCTTTGTCTGCACAGAAAACCCCAGGTCCACGCTGACACGATGTGGTATGTTTGCCACAGCCGTTTCCTAGCGGAAAGGAAGAGACCGCCTGAGTGCGATGTGAAATCGTGTAACATGATCTATGAATCCCATTGTGTCGTTTGAAAGGTTTGAAGAGTACTTGAGAGCAACTCAAGCATCAGGTTACAAAGCTAATGGCCCTGAGCGCTGACCCTGAGACTTCCAAAGTAGCTTCCCTGGCCTTCGGGATCCCCAGGAACCATCCAGATTGTTGGAGGGGGGGAAGACTCAGGAGCGGGAAAGACTTGTGTCGCACGCACGCGTCTGTGTGCAAGTGCGGGGATTCCTTCTGCTAGGGCGACGAAAATGTTCTAGGCTAAACCTCACGTAATCTATATACCACAATAAGCACACTCGTGGCTTTACTTTAAACCTCTGCTTCAAGAAACTGTGACTTCTCTGCTGACCATCAGGTGGGCAGGCAAATGATAAATCTTTAAGACCGAAAGGGTGAGGAGTTCAATTGTATATCCACAGACCCTCCGTCACCAGAAAGGTATTAAGACGAAATTCGGGAGCAAACACGATACATGTCTCCTGAAATAAAGACCTGTTACGGTATTAAATATGAGAGTCCACAGCCTTGTGAATTAGACAAAAGTGTAGAAATCCCTTAAAAAGGAACTGCCCCCCCCCACACCCAACTCTAACAGAACGCCCTCTGAGTGCATAGCACCGTATTGTGTTGTAGACAGGAGTTTTGTTCAGTATTCATTTCCCGTGAAACCGAATAAAAAGCATTTACTATCATATATTTCAGGAGCTAATATAGCCACGAACTTCTTTGGTAATTCGGGCTGTAGAGTGGTACCCTGGACAGCTGATCCGAATCTGGATCCTTTCTATGCCCATGTCTGATTTTTCCACCAGCCTTCTGTAACTCAAGAGCTTTGAGGAGAGGAACGTTTCCCTGTCGTACCCATTTCCTAAAGCGAAAGGAACCCTAAAAAGCAACACTCCTCAGGCCAACATGCATTCAACATGCTTACCGGGCACTTGACGTGTGGAAGGAGGGGAATTAGGAGCAGGAGACACCGTTTCCATAGGTTTCGAGTTGACCCCTTCACCTCCCCGAAGCCTCTGACACTTGGACACTTGCCCAGCAGTTAATGTCCACATCGTCACGGTTCCGAGAGAGGGGAAACTACTCGTTTACACACCTGAAAATCTCACACGTTTCATGATTTTTAAACACTTCCCAAATAACACACGGCTGACGCCGTTCTCATAAGAATACCGAAGCGCCATGCTGGAACAGCAGAGTTGTTCCGTGACCTCTGTGCTGTCTTCTTCTTCTACTCCCTTCTCCCGTCGTCAAACACAAAAAAAGAAGCCTCTCACCGGCTGCATGACAGATTTAGGCTTTTCCCTCACTGATGTTGAGGAGAGAAAGGAAACTGACCAGAAAAGAAACATCAGGAACGTATGTGAAACACACACTTCTAAATTTTCACACGGTAATGACGCATAATCAGGATCTGATCTTTCTGACGTCTGTATCACTAATTATGTAGAAGTCTTGCTCAGAAGAATGCTCTTAGCGTATGGGAAAGGCTAAGTCACTGGGGAGAAAATGATTCAGACCTTTCAGCACACGGAAGGACTGAGACACGTGAATAAAATTAAAGTACATCAAGAAAATAGCTTTCCCCTGTTCACCCTGGCAGGCGTCTCTGGACCCGGACTGGCCGTAGACCAAAAAAAGGACCCTATAAAAGGCATGCGTCAGAACACCCCATTTCCTGAGCCTCCTGGGAACTGAGCTGTGTCCACGTGGAACCATGACTGTGGGGGCACTGGAAGGGGCAACCTTCCAGCCGCAACGCAATATCTTTTACGTGCCGTTTCTGATAGATGGTCATCCGACTTCTCACTCCAGGGGTACTGTAATAATGTAATACTCTAATACAAGCCGGACCACTGTTGGACGGCTCTGGTGGCCAGAAAACTCTATCTGAAGTTGCCCAGAAATCTGTAGCTTTATAATTTCTACTCCAAGGTACGAGCGTGTCACGTGGATAAGTCCTCTTCCATCTGACAGCCTTTCAGTTACTTGGCGAAAGCTGTCTCGCCTTCTTTATGCCCGAGTCTTTTTTAAGGTTTTAGAAATGGGGCGCCTGAGTGGCTCAGTCGGTTAAGCGTCCGACTTCGGCTCGGGTCATGATCTCGCGGTTCATGAGTTCGAGCCCCGCGTCGGGCTCTGTGCTGACAGCTCAGTCCCTGGAGCCCGCTTTGGATTCTGTGTCTCCCTCTCTCTCTGCCCCTCCTCTGCTTGCACTCTCTCTCTCTCTCTCTCTCTCTCTGTCTCAAAAATAAACATTAGAAAAAGTTTCCTATATTGGACAAATTAGGAATTCAAGGCAAATTGAACACGGTTCTAGAAAAATAGTCACATTTTTGTCACTGAAGTCAGGGCTAGTGAAATGTGTATTTGCTCTCCCGGCATATCCCATCCCCGGTTTCACATTTCTGATTCCAGTGGTTCAGAGAATTCCTTAGATTGTTCTTTACACAGGCCGGCTGAGACACGCGGGGCCCCCCCCCCCCCCCTGCTGTCCCGACAGACAGGATTTATGGAGGAGCTGATATCTCGGTCCACACAGCACAGTGAGGTGCAGCCATCACCAACGGAATTATTCAAATTCCCTAAAGTTGCTTTTCTTTCAGAATAAAAGTGCTACTCCTGTTCGATGCCCTGCTAGCATTCAGAGTCTATCGGGGTCGGCCCAGCTGTATTACTCGTTATTTCTGTGTTGCTCCTGAGAAACAGAGCCGGTGGGATGTCTACACATACACGTTACATATATGTGTGTATGTGTGTGTGTGTGTGTGTGTGTGTGTACATCCCATTGGTTGTTTCTCAGGAGAACCCTGACTGACACACGCACACACACACACACACACACACAGGCATTTATTACGACGACTGGCTCCCAGGGTGTTGAAAGCCAAGGAGTCCCGTGACCAGCCACCTGCAAGGTGGAGACCCCGGAAAGCTGTGGTTTACGTTCTAGTCCAAGGGCAGGAGAGACCGATGTTCCAGCTCCGGGTCGGGCAGAGAGAGCGAGATTCCCCTTTTTCCTCCTTTTGCTCTGCTCAGGCCTCCAGCCGGTGGGAGGGGCTGGCCCCCCTGGGAGGACAGCCGGGCGCGGGCAGTTCACCGATTCCAGCCACACCCCTCCCCGGACACACCTGGACTGATGTTCAGCCAGATGCTGCACATGAAATGAACCGTCACGCCAGGATTTGGTCTCCCCTCTCAGGGCGCTTACTGTTTGTAAAAAGTCTCCAACGCACAGAGCCCTCCCAGGATATCTCTGCTCTTTAAATATGTTTGTCTTGCTTTTGTTTTGCGTTGGCTCCTTTGCAGTCCTCCAGTGTGCTCTGTGAAATTCCAGCCACCCAGGGCCTTTGCTCTGACACATTTGGCCAGCCCCGCTTGGGCTCTGGCATGGGGCCGTTTTGCCTTGTGCTCTGCCTGGGCATCATGTCCTCGGCTATGGTGACTTCCCGCCATGAGCCTGGCTCTGTTCCAGACACTGGGCATCCAGCCCCGGGAAAAAGCGAGAGAAGCTTTACTTTCAAGGAAGGGACAGTCCGGTGTGGAAGACGGAGAGGGACAGGCGAGCCAGTGCGAACGTAGCGTGTCAGGTAGGGGCAACTGCAAGGAAGAAAATCAGGGCAGGCGAGAGACAGAGCGGTGATGGACGGTGGTGAACCTGTCTAATGAGACGGCGCTCTAGCAGATAACTGATGGAAGTGACCTTAGGGTAGGCAATAGTCTCTTAGCTATGGCACCAAAACTACCAGCAACAAAAGGGAAAAATAGAAACATCAGACTTCACTGCAAAAAGAACAGTTCTGCTTCAGAGGACACCATCAAAAGAGTAAAAACTCCACGCACAAAATGAAAGAAAAAAGTTGCAAATCACATATATGATAAGGGTCTCGCATCCAAAATACCTAAACCGTTGTTAAAACTCCACGATAAAAAGGGAAGTCACCCAGTCGAGAAATAGACAAAGGATTTGAATAGACATTTCTCGAAGGAAGATCTATAAATGGCCAAGAAACACATGAACAGGCATTCAACATTAGTTATTAGGGAAATGCAATGAAAGGCCACATCACACCCACAGAAATGGCTGGAACAAGCAAGACACTAACAAGGGAGGGTGGAGAGGTGGAGAAGTTACAGCCACCATGGTTTTTTTGTTTTGTTTTGTTTTGTTTTGTTTTGTTTTGTTGCGGGATTGCAGAACAGCGCGGCCACTTGGGAAAACAGGTTGGCACTTTCTCAAAATGTTCACCGTAACGTTTCCCTACAACCCAGCAATTCTACCCCCGGTTCTAGACCCAAGAGAAACGAATACGTAGGTTTACACAAAAGGTTGTACACAGATGTTCACGGCAGCATCACTCGGAATATCCAAACGGGGAAACAAGCCAGGTGTCTGTCACATGACGAATGGACACTCGAACGTGTTGGAGCCACACGACAGAGTGGCATTGGGTCACAAAACGGGAGGAAGCGCTGACACACCACGAAGACGACACATCGTATGGTTCCATTTATACGAAATGTTTGGAGCAGGTGAATTCGTAGAGACAGAAAAGTCAGCGGTTGCTGCGGGCTGGCAGGGAAATGAACACGGGGAGCCTCTGCTTGCGTGTGGGCTTTGTTCTGGGACGACGAATGTCCCCTGGAGAGAAGAGCCGTGGGCGCACATCTCTGCGAATGTACCACGAACCACTCCACTGTGGACGTGCCATAGACCGCTGAATGCACACCTTGGAAGAGTGCTTCGTGGGAGATTACATGTATTTCGATAAAACT